CGCGGACCACGTGGAACGGGCGGAAAATGGCTGCGGACCACGTGGCACGGGCGGAAAAATGGCCGCGGACCACGTGGAATGGGCGGAAAATGGCTCATAAGTCGAGGCGAGTTCATAAGTAGAGGTAAATTTTTGGGGCTGAAGCTGATCGTATCTCGAAAATTTCATAAGTAGGGGCGTTCGTAAGTAGAGGTACCACTGTACTTATATTTCTGACTCCCTGTATCCCATTTCAATTTTGGTTATAAAAGATGGAGATTGAAAATCCCTAGTAAGAAACCTTTGGGGGGGGGGTGTAAAAATTCAGGAAAGGTCACAAGCCCTTGATCCATACCTACTTCCTTTCAGTTTACGAAGTGTGGTATATAACGTCAGATTTAACTGGTCAACAACAAAAAGGGGAAATTCAATTTCAAAAAGAAGGCTAATAAAATGGCCTTCTTTTTGAAACCCTAAGGAAGAAATCTTGCAAGCCGTTCATGACTTTAATAGCATGCATCTGACTGATACAGTCTCAAAATAAAAACAAATACAGTCGGGTGTTTTTAAGCACACACAGTGTTGCTTATATTTTTAGATAAAATAGCTGTGTTAGCCTTTTCTAGCAAAAAAAACCCCAAACCATCAATAACCTTGTTAAAGGCAAAGAGGCTTGCTGCATTTGTGCATCTCCGTTGGTTTCATCAGATATAGCATGTACAGGGTTATATTCTGTGCATTGGCTGAAGTGGGCCATGATCTCTGAAAGTTTGCATAATGATGCAGCTGTCCATCTTTAAGGTGTCATCAGACTTTCGTTTATATTCTCTCTTTCCCAAAGGGGTGAAAAACTGTTCTGTAACCCCACACCCCTGTCATAATACGTGTTACTTCTTCGTTTAGCTGAATGCTTCTGATGACCGAGGCATTGATATTGTCAGAGGGCCTATCCTGAACTTTGCCAGCACGAGGACCATCTTCAAGTAAGTTCCTTTGAGACCTTTCAGATCCTCTGAAAGTTGAGAATCCAATCCACTGGTTGGAAGTTGTTGGCCTTTTGGAATTCACTGAGTAGGTTGAAGTTCAAGTTACTCAGTCCAAACTGGATAGAAAGGAGAATTTCTTGGGCCGAGTTTGGGTTTCCACTGGCATTATGTTTAAGCATCAGGGTGTGTTTACTCAGACTGGGGAGAGCTTCTAGTGCCTACTAGATGATTATCCCCTACCCGGCCCTAAATTATAGTCCTGAAATAAGGATTCAGAGAGGGCAAAAAAAGACTTTTTCCTCTTTGAAAGGATGATGAGCATCATTCCAAACAAATTCCCAGACTCGGAATTCCTTTAATTCCAAGTTTATTCATTTTGCCCCAAACAACTGTTTGGTGGGTCTTAAAGTTCTAGTAAAAAACAAAGTAGATTCCAAATGCCTGAATTTTACCCACTGGTTAACTGTAGGAAGAATCTCTTTTGTTCAAAATCGTTATTATGCCTCTAGAAAGCAGTTGTTTTGTGTTGCCTGTAATTTAATCCAGAAACAAAAGAGGAAATCTCCATGTGCATAAGGAACATTAATTGAATCCAACTCTTTTCAAATATTAATCTTGCAGGGATGCTGTATAATTACAATGGCCGTATTTTCTTGGAAAAAATAAAGGGCAAATCTGAAAGAGGTTTATAAGGATTAAGAAAAATTGTTTATGTTCGTGCCTGGTTTACAGAGGAAAATTCAAGAGCAACACCAAGAAAATAAAGAATTAAATGAAATAAACCTAAAGGATAACTTGCTGAAATAAAGTACTGTCCTTTATAATAAAGGATGTATAATAAAAATGTATAACAGTAAGCTATTTACACAGAATGTAATGAAAACTAAAGTAGAAGAAGAGAACAAATGAACAATGCTCATTACTTTGATAGTGGTAAAAAAAAAAAAATCACAGAGCCCTGCTTTGTGGTAGTGGAAACTCAAAGCCACCCACACAACTCTTAATGTTCATGTAAACTTACAAAGAGAATGATCAGGTACAGTAATATAAACCCCAAACGTTGCAGAAAGGTTGTTGCTTATCTTGTAATCTAGCAAAACAACAATCTTCTGTTGAAAAGAATCAAAATGACGCAGCCGGAGACGCTAAGAGATGCGACCTCGGTGATCTTATGTCTCTGTGGGTTTTTTGAAAAAATTACTTACACGGATCATAATCCAAGTGGCTCGGACGCCACTTTATAACTCGATTTTGCAGAGAAGCACTTCAGTAGCCAGGGCTCATTCGCTCGGTCTTGTACAGAAAGACGCTGCCTGGACATTGTCAAAGACTTGAGTTCCTTGGAGAAAGACAATCTTGTGGTCAGCGGTGTGTGTATCTTTGTTTCCTGCAAATAGAGGGTTTAATCAGTGAAGGGGTGTGGGCGTATATGAAATCCATTTAAATTTCAGAGTTCCCAGTTCCTGTTTTCCTGTCCTGTTAGGAAAGGTTTTAAGCTGGTGATTCTGGATGAAGCTGATGCCATGACGCAGGACGCCCAGAATGCGCTCAGGCGTGGTGAGTTCATGCCCTGCCCAGAAAGCGATGCTGGGTAGCTCATAGACACGACTGACGTTACTTTTGGCGGCAGCCATCTTGATCTGCTGCGCAACAGGATGACTGATGGTCTGCTTTAATTTTGCCATGAATTTGGTTTGTCTTCTTTCTTCAGAGCTTTGAGAAGTTATTTTTTATAAGGCTGCCTCCAAATGTGTATCGTGTAAATGTTTGTTTTCATACATCTCCCCAGTGATTGAAAAATTCACCGAGAACACCCGATTTTGCTTGATCTGCAATTATCTCTCCAAAATAATCCCAGCTCTACAATCCAGATGCACCAGATTCCGCTTTGGCCCTTTGACACCGGAACTCATGGTTCCTCGGCTGAAGCATGTTATTGAGCAGGAGAAGTGAGTAAAAAGCATTACAGAGTGACAGCGTGAGACTGATGTCTTGCTATCCCAATTTTCTGGACTTCTAACCCTGATTTCCTCTTCTCTGTTCAGTGTTCCATCTGCCCCATCAACTCATTGTTGGGAATATCAATGAGTAAGCTATTATTGTTCTTGTACTTCAGTGCTGGGCAGTCTTATTAAGCTCTATGGAATCCTAAAGCCAGAAAAAGCCATTAAACATGGACCCTCCATCCAAAGATGGCAGATGTGCCTGACTATCATAAAAGTTTAAAACTGCCAGAATCCTGGCAAAGAAGGCTGGAATAGTGTCCATTGGGTTAGGTTTTCATGGTTGTATGACCTTTTTTGTAGGATCACTGGGAGTGGTGGGTGCAGGAAACAGCAGGACTCTTGGCTGCCTATTTAATTCCTCCCTGATCTTTCAGCGTTGATGTAAGCGATGACGGAATGAAGGCCTTGGTGACCCTGTCCAATGGTGATATGCGCAGATCTCTGAACATCTTGCAGGTATGGCTTCCATACAGGTATGACTTCCTCTTTCTAACTTGAGACTACTTGTAGCAAGCACCGACAGCCCAATGTCACCTCTGTTCTCATCTCATGTTGGAGTATAGAAGGATGTTGGGAGGGTTCTGTTGGATCAGAGCAAACATTTGGTTTGTTGTAAGGTAGCAACTGCTAGGCATTGTAACAGGAGCTGTTGCCTTCGTTCCTACCTGTGAGATTCCTAGAAACATCTGGCCAATTGCTGGGAGAAATACTTGATTCAGTAGGCATTGGTCTAATCCAGCTAGGTTCTTCTGATGCTCGTCAACCAGCAACTGGCCCTCAGTGGATAAATGACCCTCCTCTTGAACAAAAAACAGTGATCTCTCATCTCTTCCTTCCTTCCTCCAGAGCACTTACATGGCCTTTGGAAAAGTGACTGAAGAGAGTGTCTACACTTGCACTGGGCAGCCACTTAAGTCTGACATTGCCAACATCCTGGACTGGATGCTGAATCTAGACTTCACAACTGCCTATCACAGTATCCTTCAGATGTGATAAATGTGCAGGTGGTTTATTGTATTCCCCCCCCCCCGCACACACACGTTTGCTGTGTTCCCCTGGGATTGGTCTCTGTGACTCTGCTTACTCATTTGGTGCCTCCCTTAGAACAGCATTTGGATTGTGCACAGGAACATCTCAGGGAGACTGTTCCTTTAAGCCATCTAGCAGGCAATATATTGCTAATACTTGTAAAGTATACCAGATTCCTGATTTGGGGGTACCATTGACTAATTTGACTGTCCTCCTACAATGTCTCCATTGTTGGGCTCCTGTATCTCTGCTTTCTCATTTCTGGTGCGTAGGTACCAGGATATTAGCAAAACAAGCAGAATCTGTAAGACTTTGTAGCAACCTGGAGACTGCTGGGGTTCCAGCTGTTCCATTGCATTCCCACCCTCCCAACAGACAGCATTTTAAATCCATTTAATCCTTTGGTGAGCTCTTTCATATAGATCTATCTGCAGTAGTTGCTTTCCAGTCCATAATAGCCAATATCCAAGGCAATATAATTTTCTTCCCTTAGCAGCCATTCCTCCAGGCTGCTTTTAAAGTAGGGAAGAGGCTGGGTTAACCTGGGTCTGACTCCCACTGGGCTTCATCAGCTACTTCCTGTAAATCGATCTTGCAGCTTCATCTTGCTAGAGCTTCAGAAGAGTTGACCCTTTGAATTGGGTAAGAGTATATTTCAGATTCCTGTGGTATTGTTTATTTTTAAAAAAATTAAATGGCAGACTGCCTAGTCGTTTTGGATGACAGGCCCTATCTATGTGTAGGAAAGAAGTTAATAAAACTCATGGGAGCAGGCTATACCCTTGAGTCCCGGTGGACCTGAAATAGTATCTCCTGTTACCTTCTCCTGCTCCCACTGAGGTCCTCTCTCTTTTCTGAGTGCTGAAAAGCAAAGATTTGCAATTGAAAGCCATATGGACCCTTGAGTTCCACAGGAGAGATTTGGGCTACAGCCACGCCATGGAACATGGCTCACCTTGACATTCTGCCCAGATATCCTGCAACTGAAAACGCTGAAGGGCTTGGCTCTACAAGACATCCTAACAGAAATTCACCTGTTCGTTCATCGAGGTAAAAGGGCTTTTGAGTGAGGGGGTGTCTTCTTTATTTTGTCAAATGTTTATTCCAAGCTAGGAAGGCTGGATGAGACAGAAATTTTGTGGATGCATTTTGTTGATTATTTCTGGGGCAGAGGCATATAATATCCTGGCTTGCAGAGATGATAAGAGAATGCCTTTGTCCTTCTGTGTGTACATATTCATAATTTTTGGGCGGGGAGAGAGAGGAAAAGGGGTAAAAGTTGAAGTATAAAAATGCTTCCCCAGGGGGAGGAATATTGTTTATTAAATTTGTAGGCTGTAGATTAGTACAATTCTCTGGGGCTATCAAATGAGAGTTCTTAAAATCTTAATTCTTATAGAAATGGCCACCTTACTGAGCTAGATTTCTTTGGAAACATTTAGTAAGACCACCTTGCTTGGCAGTAAGGTACAATGAATGGGAATCATCTTTGTAAAATGCAGTATGTGTTCTCTCATTAACCTACAGTTGATTTTCCAACATCTGTTCGGATCCAACTGCTGATCAAGATGGCAGATGTGGAGTGAGTATTCTTCACAGTGCATATTCCTCAGAGCATATTTTTTCACACGTTTAGGATGATGTAGACACAGATAGGCGAATATTTTATTAGTGTACTGACTTCCAATCTCTAGTAAGAGAGATGTGTATAATTTTTCCTACAGAATGTTTTGCACAATTTAGGATTATGAAGCAGAACCAGGGACGTGTTGATTCAGTGTAAAGTTTCTCTATGCACTATGAGAACTAGAAGCTTGCTTCCTTACAGAAAGCTGAATTTTCCTCATCCCTAAAGTGCAGAGCTCCAGCATCACAACATTGTACAGACACGCAGCTTACTGCACACCTGGCCTTAACACATTTCACTCCAACCTGAAGTTTCTTTAACATTGTAGGAGGTTCTTTACAGGCTGAATATGTTTCTTTAAAAAAAAAAACACCCAGCATAGATAGATCTTCTTCCATTCCATTATCTTTCAGACACCGCCTGGCTGTGGGGACAAATGAGAAGATCCAGCTAGGGTCTCTTGTGGCTGCCTTCCAGATCACCAGAGATCTGATTGTAGCTGAAGCTTAACCAAGCTACTTTCCCCCCCTGTCCAACCTACAGCTTGGCTACTTACTGGTTTGTGCTTAGAACTCATCTGAACCGATTTCCCACCAAAGACTTAAATTGTGATTCTGGATGTCCTCCAAAGTGGTGCCCTCAGTGCTTCCTTGAATCCTACCGGAGAGCTCCCCTCTTGGTCAGCTTGTCTCAGCTTTCCAGGACTTTCTGATTCTGCTTCACGGCACACGGAAGGTTCTTGTGTTGACACCATCTTGGGCTCTTAATTATTTTCCTCTAATTTTTGACAACCGTCTTTATGTGCCATGTTGGAAAAGAAGAGTTCTTTGAGGGCCTCTCGAACTATGAGGGAGAAATTCCTGCTCCTGTCCAAAACCATTATTAATAAAGTTAATTTATAGCACCCTTCCAAGATTAGAAAACATGATCGCATGTATATAATAATGTTTGCTTCGTTAAAAGCTCATTCTTTTATTTCTACATGAATGATAAAGAAGGTGGCATTCTAGCTATAATACATCATGTTATCTTTTAGAGCTATGCTGGATAATGGCAATTTGAGCAGAGAGTCATGTGGATGAAGCAGTTCTCACCTCTCCCTTAAAGAAATAAAAGCCTTTTCAATTATATATCTGAGGTCGCTTTTCTACCTAGCAAATTAATTATGTAAAGGCAAATGAGCAAGAGTTTTACAGAAGCTGCTTTTGCATCTGAGTTGAGACATATCACATCAACTCACAATTCTATTGCTTCCCCTCTCATCATGTCCTTGCTTCAAAGTGATGGTTGAACGAGCATCTTTTAAATCAGGGTTTTTCAAACTTGGCAACTTTACGTTGTGTGGACTTCAACTCCCAGAATTCCCCAGCCAGCACGAAGTCCACATATCCTCAAGTTGCCAAGTTTGAAAAACACTGCTTTAGATTCATTAGATTTAATTCCTCTAATATACAACCTGCTAGGGACTCTGGATTATGGGTGTTGAAATCCAGACACGAAAAGGCTGACACGTCAACTATCTTCTTTCTGCAAATGGTTTGAAATGGTAAAATCCCGTGAAGACGAGAGTTCATGAGCTGCAGAACAGAGGGGCATTGCAGTGTCCTCTCCCTACTCAAAAAAATATATTGGTATTTTTCAAAAGGAAAACAATAAGGTATTCTAACCCAAACCCACCCACATCTAATAAGTGAAAGAGGAAAAAAAAGAGAAAAATACATAGGAAATTCCTCTTTAATCAGTTTGGTCAGAATAACTACCAATCTAGATAAACAAGATTTCCTTTTCAAGTTGCTTCAAAATGAAGATTCTCCTTTATTATGTCCCCCCAATCCACAATCATGTAATTGGTTCACAACATCTCGATACATTCACACTAGCACCTCATTAAATTAAGCTGCACCCTGATCCAACACCAATCTCATATAAATACATTTATATGAAGTTATCACACAATCATATCATTGGAAGGGACCTCAGAGGTCATGTAGTCGAACTGCTCAGTGCTGTTTAAAGACATCTAGTGACAAGGAACACATCATTTTAGGCTATTACGCTGGTTGACAGCTCTTATTATGAGGAAATCCCTAAAATCTACCTCCACAATCAACAAATGATCCCCTTTCCAACCATCTGATAGATAATTCGGTTAGGCTTTATCCAGGATAGTTTACACAAACTGGGAAGAGCAAACCCTTGATTCCCATCTGCCCTAAGATCTTTGCATCCTGCCTCCAAGTGAACATTCTGACCATTTATTAAACTCTCCACTGGTGAGAGAGAGAGAATTTCTAGGTCCTCTGAAGCATCGCCACGCTTCTGTTCGGCTTCTGTTCTAACTTGAGAAATCTCCCACTGCTTATCAATCATCACTAGTTTCGCTCTCTGATCTTCCAGGGGGGAAAAAAGCCCAAACTGCTCTGAAAGCATTAACCTTGCAATGTACCTCTCTGCTCATTTAGTGAAAACGAAGTGTTTTCCCCAAATCTCCCCATTCAAGCCAGAGAAAAGGCAGAGCTTTCACTTCCACCTCCCTGTAAAGGACATAAGTTTAAAAGCTTTACCCAGTAGTGCAGTGTTTCTCAACCTTGGCAACTTGAAGATGTGTGGACTTCAACTCCCAGAATTCCCCAGCCAGCCATGGTTGAGAAACACTGTAGTAGCCTATTGAAACAGGAAAGATTTCCAGTCCCACATTTGTTTTGATGGAGAAGATTTGATGGAGAAGATTTGATGGAGAAGAAAAAAACTGGTTTTTCCTAGGCAATGTAGAAATCAAAAACCAAACCGCTGCAGAATGACAAGGAAGTGAGCATTGGCTGACTAAATCATAACACTCCACAATTGTTTCCTTCTGTGTCCTGAGATGCTTTTTCTTTTAATGTCCAAGAGGAAGTTGTTGGCATCAAACCCGCATCCCAGAAAATCCTGGGAGGGTAACTGGCAAACTTTACTCCACCAACAACTCTCCCATTTGTTCCATGAGGCTAGTGCAAAAAAGACAGCATTTGCCCAACACATCCCTTGGCCTTTTCCCAGCTAGAAAATGGCGTGGCTTCATAGCCCAACATCCAAAAGCACAAGAGTTCTGTCTCGTGTGTGCTGCATCACACAGTGCCATTACGAGGAACCGGCAGATCACAACCTCACCTCCTTTCAGCCAACATCATAAAGTCCTGTAGGTGAGAAATTCCTTCATCTTCTTTGGAATGTTCAGTCCCTGAACCTGGTAGCTTGTGAAGCAACCACGGAGGACTTTCCGACATAAGTGCTTTAGAGAAGACAGAGCGTGAGGAGCTGTCCAAAACTGCGCGTGACCATCTCTGGTCCTGCAACATGAAGAGAAGGCAGAACTGAGTTGATTAATTAGACCTCGCAGTCGGCGGCAGCCTCAAGCCCACTCTGGTTATCTCCAAAAAAATTAATTAATTAATTAAAAATTAATTAATTCTAAAAAATTAAGGAGGGATGGACCTGATTAGGACTGATCAGAGACATCCAGCAAATCCCAAGATGACAGGCTAGATTGGGAAACACCCCAGAAGATGACAATGGCATGAAAAGAATATGGATGTGTCAAGTCAAAGTTGGAAGTTGACCTTAACTCCAAGGAGACTTTATTTGTGTGTGGGGGTGTGGGTGCCTTCGAGTCAGTGTTGACTCCTGGTGACTGCCTAGACAAGTCCCTGCAGTTTTCTTAGCAAGACTTTGGAAGTCGTTTGCCATTCCATTCTTCCTGGGGCTCAGAGAGAGGGACCAGCCCAAGGTCCCTCAGCTGACTTCCATGCCTAAGGCAGGACTAGAACTCATGGTCTCCTGGTTTTTAGGCCAGCGCCTTAACCACTACACCAAACTGGCTCTCTAAAGGAGGCTTGACTACTCAATGGTTATATCCCTCTAAAAAAAACCTTGTAAGGAATTTTGGGCTTAGAGGTAATGACCAGGTCCAAGTCATCCAGTTGCACAGATGATTACTAGACTCTGCGTGGCTCACCGCATCCAAATTACAATTAAAAACATAACAACAGAGGATAACAGCCTGGAGAAAAACCACCACAGTAATCAAAAACACAACAGGGACTCTGCTAACACCCTTGGGCTTGAATCTGGGTTTTCCCGATCTTTCTCCACCACCTCCCATCACAACCCCTTGGTACCTTCTGGATAGGTTGCATTTATAACTCCCAGAGTTGATCAGCACTACGGCAGTCTTACTCTGGGTCTTAGCAATACACGAGTTCCTTCCAGAGGAATGAGACAGAAGAGTTGGAGAGCTAGAAATTTAATTTTCATTTCTAAAAGATGTATGCCCCAGGGCTATTCACCAAGAACTTGTCAGCAATTTCTTAAAAGCAGCTGTGCCTTTTCCCAGGATCATGCAGGCAGCCTCCATGCTGCAGGATGATCCCAGGAACAAGACAAATTTGGTTCAAGGAGCTGTTGGCAAGTGGTACATTAACATCCCTGCACACTCCATACACCTTTTCTTTCAAGATTCTTGGACCTTCTTTTTTCCTCTCTGAAACAAACTCCCCACCGTTCTCCACAAGACGTACCCTGTTGCGATAATCCCACCATGTGGAAAATAAGTGCAGCAGAGACCATTCTTCACAGGGGCAAAGACAACAGGACTCCCAAGTTCTAATGCCCAGATCCGGAGGAGCCTTAAAGGAGATAAAGGAAGATACTTGTCTTCGAAAATTGAGTCAAAGGGCCTAACTGAATAAAACAAGTCTTCTCAAGCTTCCATATGTTTTGGATTTCCAAGTCCCATTCCTCCTAGTCAGTGTGACCTCATGGGACCTGTAGGCCAAAACATCTGGAGAACATCAGCTGACACTGCCTCTCAAATGTTGGCCAACTCTGCAAGAATTCTTTTCAACTCCTAGAGGACAGTTCAATTGAGATCCCATCTCCAAGGCTTATGTGTCCCAGGCTTATGGGTCAGGAGAGCTGTTTGGTCTTGTGCCCCACTGCTTTCGTCCTAAGTAGTGCCATGTTCAAAATTACGTCCCCACCAAAATCTTCAGGATGTGCTTATTTGCTGAATGTATTGGCATTCTCTTACAATCATTGCTCCCCTGCTATCAGCCAGTGTAACGCCTAGAACAAGCAAGACCAGAAACGGGGCTAAGACCAGACTGGTCCACCACAATAACAATGCATGTTTCAACTGCTCCTCTTGCTGACAAATGGACGGCCTTAGCCTGTTAGGACACAGGAACTGTGGTGAAAAAGCTTTGGAGGAACCTGCAGTTTGACCATGACCCATTTTTGCTCTCGATTAGCGCCTCTAGAAATTGCTGTCCCTTTCAGTATAACTGCAAAAGGGGAACTTTCTTCTCCAGAGTTGGCAGAGAGAAAACGTCAGCCACGGAGCCTAGTTTTGCAAACGCTGCCTACCGCCTTTGGGTCCATCAAGGATCACCAGGCTGCGGTCCTTCTAATAGGACAGTACTCCTTCGGTGAACAAATATCCCTATTCTTGTTTAGGTTCCAAAGCATAAGGACTCCCTAGCCAAAAGAGCTGGCCGAGTACGGTGCTTTAAGCACAAGAAGATGGAATTACTTCCTGCATTCCCATAGGCACAATGTCTGGGAAAGGATCCATAGCAACGTAAGCACTTGAGTTCTACCTCGGAGCCTCTCACCTGTCGTCTGCCACAGTGGCAAGGTAGAGGCCTTCGGGTGAGAAGCACACAGACCTCAGGGAGCTGGTGTGGAAGTTGCCACCATGGTCCACAGCAGGTTGCAACGGAACATGCCTGGGAAGGAAGAGAGACAGGTTGGAGTCTTCCTTCTAACTCATCTAGGGACTACCAGCTGCTAACGGAAAGCCCCTGTGATGGAAAGGCTGGGAAAGACTAGTCCCTACATCTCTCATCATCCGTGAAATCCTTTCTCCTCCTAAACACTCCGGTTTCAAATAGTGCAGAAGATGAAAATCTCTTAACAGAATCCCAGTTGCAAGAAGAGTATTAGAAACCCTTATCTCAATCCAGAAGAGATCAGGGGAACCCTATTTCCTGACAAATGATAGATACCCAGGTAATAGGCACAAGATGATCTTCCCAACAATTCAGCCATAAATAAATAAACACACACACATGTGTGTGTATGTGTGTATATATATACACACATATATATGTACACTCATATGGACATACACACATATGAGCATTAGGTACGTATGCTGCCTTGAGCTGACAAAAAATAAAGACAAGATGTGTGTGCGTGGGTATGTGTGTGTGATTTATATATATTTCTGTTGTGGTTTTGCTCTGCTCTTCTACGTTTTCCTTTGGGCGGTTTAATTAAATCTAAGTCTCAAAACAAACCATGGGACGTTTAATCAATCAGCAATTTGGAAAGCTAAAATGTTGGCTGGATTAAAAAAAATATATGAATTTGGGGAGGAGACTTCCTCATTAGAATTCCCTAATGAGGTAGCCTTCTCCCCAGATGCATTTTTAAAATCATTTTAAGCACCAGCATTATTGGTTTTCTAATATAGAGGAAAGGGGTCATTTCTCTGACTACGATGTGCTAGTGTCCTTTCCAAATGTCCAGAATCGTTTGGACCACCAGGCCAGATCTGTAGGGCTTGCCTTAGGCCTTCTAGGGAGTTGCCACCTTCCTTACCAAAAGGATCTTAGTTGATCCCCTGTACAGGGATCCCAGAGGATCACAAAGGTGTCATACGAAGCAGTGGCAAGAAGAGCCGAGTCTGGAGAAAAGTCACAGGATGCCACACAGCCTTGGTGGCCTTCTAGCTTTCGGAGGAGGCAATAGGAGCGCATACTCCAGAGCAAAGCCTGATAGGGAGAACACAGGCCAAAGTAAGGACAAATTGCCACCAAAGATCTATACCAGCCGCATTTCTCACAGTCAACAACACGGCCCTTTCCGTGCAGGCTAAACTCACCGACTTCTCTCCAGCCGCTGAGCAGAGCATTTGGCCATCAGGAGAAATGGAGCAACAGTAAACCCATTGCACGTGTCCAGAAAGCACTTTCAGTTGCTTCCCTAGAAAAAAATAGAAGGGGGGGAAGGGCGTGAAGCGGGGTTTACAGATCGGCAAATCCAGCATGGACCTCCCCAGACCTAGGCTGGATTTGCACAATAAGCTGGTGAAGTGGAAGAGTCTGTGATTCAGTGGGTTAAACCCAACCACTGTGAGATTATGTGTTTGGAAACAGTGTTAGGAATCCAACCATGAGTACTTGGAGCGCTGTGATGATCACTCTAGGTTTGGTTAGAACAACCTTGGTGGCTCAGCTGTGGATCACCCATTCTTTATTTGTTAAAAATAAATCCCACCTTTCATACACAAGGCAGTGAAGATAGCACTCCCTTCTCCTGTTTTTGCAAAGTTTGTTGGCCTGAGAGAGAGACTGGCTCCAACAAAAGAGAATATATGTAGAACAGGGTTGAACTGTGGAGTCCTTGGTGCTCTCTAGGGTTCAAGAAGAAGGAACTACCAAGGAGGAAATGACCAAGAAGAAGGAACTACCAAGGTGGAAACTACCAAGAAGAAGGAACTACCAAGGTGGAAACTACCAAGAAGAAGGAACTACCAAGGAGAGAACTACCAAGGAGAAAAGCACACCCCCACCAACACAGGCAAGCTACTGTATATAAACAGGAAGTCAACCCCACACTCACCAGCACTGATGATGCTACCTAGTTGGGTAATGAAACGTCTGCAAGCAAACCACCAAGCTCAGAGAGCACCAAGGACTTCAGGAAGACTGGCCTAAAGTTCTCCAGGGTAGCTTCTGGAGCTGAGATTAGACTTGGCTTTCACAGTGCTGGACCACCACTTTAAATGCTACAAGGAAAAGACTCTGACCAGAGACTCCACAGCTCGTTCTTACCATTTTGGCCAAGGTCCCAGACTCGAAGCGTTTTATCTCGGGATGCAGAGACGAGAATGGAACAGCTCTTGCCGGGCGCAAAGCTCAAATCCCTCACCACATCTTGGTGGCCCAAAAGGTTGAAAAGCAGGCCCCCTGCAGAGGTGGAGGGAGCAGACAAAAGAAAATGACACCTCCCTCCAAAGTGGGGTGTGATGCGTCCATTTGAGATTCGTGCAATTCTTAAACGATGTGACGTGCATCCATAATATTTCCAGAGGATCGCTTTGCTAAACAACAGAAATTTTTGCAAGGGGTCTAGAAATCTCACCTAAGCTTATAAATCTAAACTCAGTTTACCACCTCAACCTAGCAATTGCCCACCTCTTTGCTAAGCCCAACAGGGACTGCTAAGGGTTTGAAATAGAAGCAAAAGATTTTTCACGCTTCGGGAAAGAAAAACAGGACAATGCTAATACTCCTATCTATTCCAATGTTTGCTTGCTTGATCTGTCTGTCTCTCTGCCTGCCTACGTACCTACCTGTATATCTGCCTGCCTGCCTGCTTGCCTGCCCTATCCATCCATCCATCCATCCATCCATCCATCCATCCATCCATCCATCCATCCATCCATCCAATCCATCCATCCATCCTATCCATCCATCCATCCATATATCCATCCATCTCCTATCCATCCATCCATCCATCCATCCTATCCATCCATCCATCCATATATCCATCCATCTCCTATCCATCCATCCATCCATCCATCCATCCATCCATCCATCCATCCATCGTCTCTCTCCCTTCCCTCCCACAAGTCCAAAGGTTGTAAAATAGGCAGAAACTGGAAGAAAACCTGGGAAGGAGGCCATCAATGCCAAGAACCCTTTCGGAGAGTGAGGAAACAGCCCGCCTGCCTCTCCTGTGATCCTTAGCAAGCACAGAGAGATAACAAGAATTCTGCTTCCCTCCTGGCAGGATCTGAATCCAGCTGGGGAGCTCTCTTAATTTCTGCTCTGAGCTGCATTAATGACCGCCTGTCAGAGGATGCAGCAAATTTTGCTCACCAGGGGGCACAGGCAATTCATCCCTGTTGATGCTTTTGGAAGAGCCAATTAGCTGTGTTCATATTCTACTTCCTAGCTCTCTTAAACATAGCAGCTGCGTTACTTAATGCGCACAGTGTAAATCTCTTTCACACCCCAATTTTCTTACATGCAACACACACACACACAGACACATTACATTAATTGTCCTTCAGACCAGGAGTCCCCTTTAAAATAGAGATCAAAATGCTGGGTAACCAGAGGTTGCAATCCAGGAAAAGGTTTGTGTTTTTAGACTGGAAAGGGTGTGTAATGTTCATTACAAAGACTGATAAGGATTCAGGATATGGTTTTGTAAATAGCTGCCCACAAAACGTTTCTGTTATCAAGGAGAAGAACCACCCCTTTGCCAGTTTACAACAAAGTCGTCCGAAAGAAGCTGGAAAAAGTCTATCTGTACATTATGGGGGATAAATTGGTTCTCGACTGGAAATAGCCCAGTGGCTGAAATTCTTCTAACATTATCCCTTGCATTTCAATCAATCCTGTTAAAAAAGACTCTTAGGAGAATCATGCTTGGACAACTTTCAGCAGAGTCAGCTGCCAAAGAACCGGATAGCGAGGCTGGATGAAAGCAGGCTTTGCACATGTGCCCGTATCCACAAGCAAATTTGCCAAGATTCACTTGTATTTCAGGAAATAACAGGGCCAGCTTACCTGTTTGGACCTCCCAGACTTTAATCTGCCCATCGTTTAATCCTGTGGCCAGGATCAAGCAGGAGGGAGTTGCCTCCTGCCGGAGATTCTTATGTGGTTGGGGTGGCAACCATGAACTGAAAGCCAGACCCCAGACAATCTGCCCACATTCCAACGTCTTCTCCTTGGAGCCACCATAACCCCTGAGCTTGGTTTTGGCACACTGGTTCTTGCGCTCCAAAGCTTTCCTGTTGCTGTGATGGTGGAGAAGAAGGGAGAGAAAGGAAAGAGATCTCTGAGCTAGAAAAGATCCTTAAAGTTGCTCCCTCCCTTCCCCTCGAGCAAGATCTCCCAGCTTCCTAATGAATGAATAAACCTGGAAACCCTGCATGTCTCAGGAAGGAGAACGGGTGCAAAACTTGGGAGAAATTATTTTCTCTCAATCCCACTCCTGCAAACAGGAGCCTCTACACCAGTGTTTTTCAAACTTGGCAACTTTAAGAGGGGTGGACTTCAACTCCCAGAATTCCCCAGACAGCATGGAATTCTGGGAG